GGGTGGGTGTCCAGTGAGAGACCTGTGGTGGTTAGAGAGCCGAGCCTGAGGGCCTCACGGGGTACAACGGGTCCCCCTCCCAGGAGCACTAGTTGAGCCCCAGGTTTCCAGCCAGCTGACCGAGGCTGAACCTGTAGTGGGCCTTGTAACCAGCTGGCTGGCCTGCAGGACTCTGATGTTGGGGGCCCAGCCCTTAAGCCCCCCCCCCTCCAGCCACCCCCCAGGTCATGGATGGAAGCCCAGAAGGGAAAAAGCCTGCTCTTCGAACTTTGTGTGAGTTGTCTGAGAAAATCTTCCCAGTGGCTCTGTGAAGCCGCTCCTGCTCCTATTCCATGTTACAGATGAGGAGGCTGAGAAACAAAGAGGTGAAGTCAGAGCATTCCCGGCAGTAGGAATAGCAGGTGCAAAGGCCCTGGGGCTGGAATCTGCTTGGTGTGTCCAAGGAACAGTGAGGAGGCTGGCGTGGCTGGAGGGGTATGCGGGGAGTGGCAGGCGGTGGGAGATGGGGAGTAGGGGCAGACAGGATCCAGGAGGGCATCATGGCTGTGGCCTGGACTCGGAGGAGGCTGGAGACCCAACTGCTGGAACACATTGAGCAGGGATAACATGAGTGATCTTACAAGTTTTCTTTCCTTTTCTTTTTTTTTAAAAGAAATTTTATTGAGAACAGTGTGTTTTTCCAGGACCCATCAGCTCCAAGTCAAGTAGTTGTTTCAATCTAGTTGTGGAGGGCACAGTTTCTTGGTCCAGGTGGGAACTGAACCAGCAACCTTGGTGTTATGAGCCTGCACGCTAACCACCTGAGCTAACCGGCTGCTCACAAGTTTTCTTTTTAATGCTTCTTAGTTTTCAGTCTTACAGCTCAATAGACTCAGGCTGCTATGTGGAGAACAGATGGGGTGGATGGAGGGCAGAGCAGAACAGGCCGGAAGTGATCAGGCAGCACATTGGCAGGTCCTGGTTCCGTGGGGGGCTGGCTCTCCAATGGCCTGAATGGTGGGCAGGCCAGAGCTTCTGGGGGAGGCTGCAAGTGCCCTTACCTGATCTGCCCCAGCCTGAGGCTCCCTTCCCTCACCAGAGGGGCCCACAGAGCTGAGGTTCCCCCAAACCAGAGGCATTTGTCCCCAACAGGAAACTTCAGGATATTTCTAAGGGCACGGGCATCTTTGCGGGGCCTCACATATGGCAGCTAGAAGCCTCATTCCCGAGCGCACCCCAAGTACTAGGGGAGCTGGACCCCACCCCGGGGCCAGGGCAACCCTGGGAGCAGAGGCCAGTGTCACAGTTCCAGCCAAGAAGTCCCACAGCAGCAGCCTAGACATGGGCCCGCCCAGGCCTGCGACAGAAAGCACCTTCTATTTCCAGTTAGCAGCACACGTGAGCGCTGCCTGGAGGGCCTGGGAGGACTGATTGCACTGCTTCTCCTGCTCCAAGTTGCAGAGGCTTCTGAGGAGCTAGACCAGGAGCAGTTTTCATGGGAGGGAGACGCTAGGGGCTGAGCTGGCCTTGCAAGTGTCATCAGCACTCCCATCCCAAGCTTGGCATGAGGGCATGCCTTTGGGGTGGGTCTGGCTGGGGTCAGAGTTTGAGGAACTCAGTGCAGAGGTGGGGTAGGGCTCCATAGGACCTTCTGGGAGAGGTGGATGGTTCTAGAGAGACCTGCCAGGTCAAGGCAAGGCCCTGGCAGGAACCTAGCCAGGGGAGGTCTGAAAGGAGAGGCCAGCTGAGCAGAGGCTCTGCAGGGTCCGTGTGCCCTCGGCCAGGCCTGAGACCAGAACATGGGCTGAATCAACGTGGGCCCAGGGTGCTCAGGGACGTCCAATGCTCCAAAGTCAGTCTTGATTCCAAAGCTGAGTCCAGGTGCCCAGCTGGGGCAGGATGGGGAGAGGACAGAGGCTGAGTGACACCTGATGGCACCAGGTCTCTGCCCACTAGGTACCCATGGAAGATGCCAAAGTCCCGCTTTCAGGAACACAGTGCCTGAAAGAGCAGCTTAGGGCCATGAAGACATCGTCTCCTGACCAAGTCCTTTGTCCCAGCGCTCAGCTCTCTCGTGGGTGGTAGGAGGGAGTGGGTGGGGGCCGGGCAGATGCAGTCCCAGGCAGACGGGGCTTGAGGTGGCCTCACCCAGAGTGAAAGCTTTCCCTGGCCTTGCTCTATAAATAGGTTCTTGGGAGAGTGTTTCCATATGGCTGGCTGTCTGAGGAGGGGCTGGCACAGAAAGCTTCCTAATGGCTTGGCCCCAGGCTCTCTGGCCTGCCTCATCTCATCTCGAACACGGCTGAGGCCCGACATCCTGGGCCTTCGTGGGTCAGGAGGCAGGGTGAAGCCAGAGAGCCCAAGGTGTCAGAGCAGAGCAGCAGCTGGGGTGGGACGAAGCCCACCAGGCAACAGGGACAAGGCCCTGTGCCAGGGCCACAGCGCTCAGAGGGGTGAAATGACGCCCCCGGGCACTGGGCCGCCGCCACTGCCTTGGCAAGGGGCTCCCCTCCTCAGCAGGCTGGGGCGGGTGCAGCGGGGGTGCTTGGCGAGAACCCCTGGGCGGGTTTCTATCCGCTCAAATGGCCACACACCAGTGAAGGCTGGAGCCATCAGGCCCATCTCGAGGAAATCATTTAGGAAGAGGTTAATGTGGGGCTGGGACAACGGGGCCATTATGACTCACTGTGCTCTCTGGCTCAGCCGGCTGGGTTTCCGGGATTCGGGGCAATCACCAACACCCACTCCGAAGCTCGCGCTGGCCTCAGTGCGCCTGTCTCCTCAGCTGCCACCCAGCTCCCTCATCACTGGAAATGTCCATGGTAGGGGCCACGGGATCAAGAGGCCATAACTCTAGAATTTCAGAGCTAGAGGGACCCTGGGACCACCAACCCCCATCCCCACTGACACACAGGCCAAGTTCCAGGGAAGGGGCCTGGACCTGCCAGAAGTTTCCCCATGAACAGTCACATACTGACCACGCGTCGTTTGGGAGAGACCACAGGAAAGGCCCTGTCACGTGGCCCCCAACCTTTCCAAGCCACCTTGAGCCCACCCAAGGCCCACACTCCGCCCCTGCTGGTGAGGGCCCCACTGCCAGTCCCGCCTGCCACCAGCCCAGAGAGGCCATCCCTCGAGTGGTCACAGGGCCCTAGGGTGCCCTGTCCCTCTTCCCCCAGGAGCAACTGGGGCCCCTAGGTTCTCACTCAGAGCAGTCTGGTCTGGGTCAGGGCCCACATGAGCAAGAAAGTGAACTCTTTGGGGAAGAACTTGGCCCAAATGAGAGATTGAGCCCACCGGCCCACCCCACCCAAACTCCGCCCTCTGATACACACTGGCTTGGAGGCGGGTCTGTGTCATCTTAAAGACAAGTGCAGCCGTCCAGGAACCATCCTTCTGCCAATCCAGGTCTGGCTGGTAGCTCCGTCCCCGCAGGTGTGTGTGTGTGTGCAGGCACCGCCCCCCAGGAGGGCTGGCGCTGGCCATCTAGCAGAGCGCTCCCAGCCAGCCCGTGGCCAGGTCTGGCCTGCCTCCACCTGGGAGAGCCCAGTCGGGCTGTCCTAGGACACGCTGTTGTCGGCCCACAAGAGGAGTGTGGTTTTGGGGGAAGTGCCCCCTTGGACTGGTTACATCTGCTGTGGTGGGGCTTCCAGGGACAAATACCTCCCCCGGCCCTGGCTTGGGCCACTTCCCAAATCCCTAACAGGCCCTCAAACCCACATTTCCTCCTGCAGAGAAAGGTGAATTTCAGAAGTTCAAAACTTGATCCTGGTAAAAACTGAAGATGGGGGCGGTGGCAACCTGGCCTGGCCTGAGCCACAATGCCTTGGAGACCCTCTCCTGCCCTGCTGTCCCCAGCGAGGGGCACCACCTGTCTTTGGAGGTGACCTCACCCTGGGATGGCTGCAACTCCTGGGAGCCCCAGGTCCACCACAGGGCAGCTTAGGGATCGTCAGTGTCAGGACAGCCAGCATGGGACGGATGACAAGGCTGGCACCACAAGCGGTGTCCCCTCTGAGCAGGCTGACTTAAGAGTTGCCCAGACTCTCCCTAAAGCCTCCAGAGATGGGGAACCCATGACTGTCCGAGGCAGCTGAGGGCCTTCCCTGCCAATTCGGACTAGCAGGCCTGCCAGGTGCTGGTGGGGCCACGTGGGAGGATTGCAGAGGCCCCTGGGGGCCTCCAGAACGTCCTGGGCCAGCGGCCTCTTCCCCACCGACAGCTCATGGGACATGTCATCAATAGCAGGCCCCGCTGTCCTGGTGGCACTGGTGGGGGCAAGGAGCCAATGGACCACGGCGGAGCGCCTGCTGTGCCGGGTTAGTGCAGACCTCCCTGCTAACTACCACTTAACACAAGAACCTGAGGCTCAGAGAGGTTTTGTCACCATGTCAAGGTCACACAGCCAGTGGGGCACGGGCAGGGCTGGAGGCCTGACCTGGACTGCTGAGCGCTTCCCACCCGGCTGGGGAAGCAGCCCCCCCATTCTTGTGTTCATCAGGACGACACAGGCTGCCAAGGCCCAAGCGGAGCCTTCAGGCTCGGCTCCACCTGGAAGCCGCGAGGCTGGGAACCTCATTAGCAGAGTGGTACTGACAGCTCCTGGGAAGAGCTAACTGTCCCTCCTGGCCCCGGGGCAGGGCAGGTGTGTTGGAGGACGAAACCCTCCCCGGCTGGCTGGGCCCCAAGCAGCCGAACGTTGAAGGAACGTTGAAGGCCCAGACGACACCCAGACATATGGAAAACACTTGCCTGCCCAGAGGCAGAGGGAGGGGCCTCTGGAAACCCTCCTGAGCCAATGGGAAGGCAGGTGCCTACAGATCCCCATCTAGGAAGCCACGGGGCCAGCGGAAGAAGGGGGCGGTGTGCTTGGCTGGACTCCCTTCCCCAACACCCTGAAGGCTGCAGCGGTGATCCTGGCAGGGGTCCTCCCAAGTGGCCATTTCCATTCCCGCTTCATGGGCCCTGGGGTTGGGGGTGCTGATTAAGCCTCACTCAGAATGAGCCATTTGTGCGACAAGCTTAATAAAGTCCGTTTTAATTGTCAGATTCCCTTTGCCTTCGCCCACGCAGAGGAAGCCACCGGGCCAGTGGGGAGCAGAACACAGACCCCTGCAAAGCCAGTGCTTGTTCCTGGGTGAACCTGGCTCAGGTGGGCCCACGCCAGGGCTTCTGTCAGGTTTAGGGAAAACTCCGGGCTCATCCACCTGAGAGCAGCCCCTAAGCCGTGGCAGCTGGGAGAGCAGTCATGTAACACAAAGGACAAGCCCCAGCAAGGCCAGTGAAAAGCGGGGTGGCTTGGGGCTGCCTCCTCCCGGGAGCGCTGCCACCTCAGGGCTTCTTAGGACTCCCAGGCAGCGGCTCCTTCGCATGAAACCAGACGTGGTCCATTCTGCATGCGCGGGCCTGGCCCTGGGCGTCCCATGCTGGGCGGAGCCCCTCTAGGTGCAGACAGCAGAACGGGGGCAGAGCCCCTGGGCTCGGGGATGGATGTGATCCCCCCAGGGCTGAATCCCTTTTATTTATTTACCCAGGTCCCACAGTACAAACCCCCAGCCTGCCATCCCCCCAAAGTTGACTGAGCTCCTGATTCTTGCTCCCCAATCACGGCGTCGTTCTCTGCATGATTAGCTGCTGGTTCTCCAGGCACTGCTTCAGCTTGTCTTCCGTCAGTGTCAACCTCTGCTCCAGGATGGAGACTGTCTGCAAAATAACAGGTGGTCAGGCTCAGAGGGTGCAGGGGCCACCAGGCTGCCCTGGGGATCCCCCACTAGTCCTGCTCAGCCACCCCCACCCGCTGTCCAAATGCCAACTGTTGGCTCTTCCCACCCAGGGTCCTGCCGGGCCCTTCAGCTCTGGTGGCTGTTGGGCAGCTCTTGCCTTTATGTGCACCCCTCCTGGCTCCAGACAGTTGTTCTCTGATGTGAGGGGAAAGCGACCGTGAGGGGAAGGAGGGGAGGTCCCATGGGCCCCTGGTCACTCCTCAGGACAGCCGAGATCAGGAGCACCCGGCCCTCGTGGTCTGGCATGTAGACTGGAGTTCGGGAGCCAAACCACCTCCTCACTGGGGCCAGGCTCTGTCCATAAACTGGACACCATCAACCACCTTCATTCTGAAGGTGAGAAGACAGCACCCACAAATGAAGGCACTCCCCTGGATCCGGCCTTCACCTCAAGCTCTTCGCCCTCACACCTGGAGGGGTTTCCCAGGCTGGGAGCTGAGTCCCCTCTACCTTTCCGAGTGCAGTGAGGACCGTCGCAGGAACGTGCCATCTGGGGTTAGGCCCCAGCTCCCTGTCACTGAGCCCACTTTCTCCTCTGGAATGGGAAGGGTTAGCTCTGAGCTCACAGCAGTCCCGGGGACTCCGCAGGGTGCCCAGCTTGGTAGCCTGGCCCATGTCGGCTTCCGGAGGCTGAGCCCTTGCCCCCTGGCCTCTGTGCACACCCAGCATGATGGCTGGCCTGTGGAGCTGGCCGTCTGGGCTGCCGAATGTGCCAGGACCAGTCTCGCAGGCAAGGCTGCGAGATCCCACACCCCCGCTCTGTCTTTGGATGGAGTGTCGGCGAGGGGCGGTGGTGTTGGGGAGCTGTGTGCTCCCCGGAGATGGGCTGGCCCAGTGCCCTCAAGCACTCGCCCCATGGGCCTGCCCCACCGGTCACAGGCCCACCCCAGCCCTCACGCAGCCCTGACGCACACTGGCCATGACGGCTGTGCTCACCATTCGCTCCTCTCACAGAGGGCTGGTTGAGTGCCCGTGTGTGCCAGACCCACAGCGGGCACTGGACAAGTCCACTGTGAGCAGGCATCAGAAACGGGTCAGATAAGAAACAAAACTTTCTATTAATTTCCTCCATTTGTTTGTGGGCTTTCCCAAGAGGTTTCGCCGCCTCCCCTGAGGCTCCATGGAGGCTCTGGGCCTTGGTCCAGTGGAAAGTTTCCTTTCATACACTTAATGAAACACTGAAACATTCTGGGATGGAGTTTCCCGCTAAGGCGGCTATAAATTCTCAAAGCGTCCTGACTAATGTCAGCCGCTCATGGAGGCTGCTCCTTCCGGGGGCCGGCCTCTTCTGAGCTGGCCGGGGCTACACAGGCTCTGGGCCCCGGCTGCGGGACAGGGCCCGAGAAGCTGCCGCCCACGGAGAAGGAACTGCACCCTGAGAGGCAGAGCTGCGCTGACAGTCCCGCTCCCCCTGCGCCAGCCGCCCATGGCGGGGGTCTGTCTCGTAAAAGTGGTGGTGGAAATGGCCCTGGCTGGCCTAGCGCAGCATTCCTGGAAGTTTCCACCGGCTGCTGCTAAACTCACACTGAGCCAAGCTCCAAAGTCATTCTTCATCCAGACTTTTTCCGATGGCCACAGACTCCAGGCCACGGTGGGGGAGCCAGGCGGCTTTCCTCCTCTGGCCCCTCTCCGCCCCCTTTTTCAACTTTTCACAGGGACCGACCTTTCACAAATGGAGGCGGTGGGTGCTGGGCCAAGGTCAATACCAGGGGGGCCATGCATTTCACGAGGTCTCCACTTGGTTCCCTGGGGTACTTTGGCTTGGTAGAAATACGACCATTACATTTGTCAATATTAAGTTTCTCTAAACCAGCGGTTCTCAACCTTTCACAGGGGTCACCTAAGACCATCGGAAAACACATATTTTCGATGGTCTTAGGAACCGAGACACCGCTCCTCTATCCGTCTCCAGGCCCACATGCAGATACACCCACATACGAGTACCGGCGACCCCTGTGAAAGGGTCGTTCGACCCCCAAAGGGGTCGCGACCCACAGGTTGAGAACCGCTGCTCTAAACAGAAAAGCATCATCTATTTCCCCTCCAGCCCCCTGAATCGAGGGTGCAGAACCAGCAGTGGGCCTTTCCTTTGGGAGCTTTGAGGGGGTGCTTCGCAATGTGTCATAGACAAACAAGTTTTTAAAAAGTCCCCCACCCCTCCCCCCTGCTGCCTTCCGGCGGCTCCCCTTCCCCAGCCAAGCTTCTGGAAGAGTCGTGTCACCTGTTTTTGGTCCTCGCCTCTCTCCCTCCCTCCCCCCTCTGGCCTCAGCCTACTCTGCCAAGGTGCTGGGTGGTACCCCCATCCAGGGATTAAGCCCACCAGGCTCTTCCCAGTCCCATCTGACCCCCCCCCAGATCCGGGAGGAGGCGCTGGGGGAGGACAGCGCGCCAGCACGTCTGTAGGCTAACGCTGTCTGGGGTTCTCGGCTTCTCAGATTGTTCCCAGTAACCCCCTCCAATACAGCAGACCTTGTTTCATGGAAAGCAGCTCCCTCACAATAAAGTGAACCTCGAAATCCTGGGCTCTGACTTGGCCGTGTGTCTTCCCTCCACCAGGGAGGGGGTGTCCCCAGGGATGGGAAGGCGCAGGGCTGGCGGTGCCGAGGCCACCACAGTGCTACCCTGCTTCCCGGCCGCTGGGGTCTATGGGAGGCGGGAAGAGCACCCTGGAGAGGGGCGGGCGGACGGGCGGGCTGAGGGGGCATCCCCAGCAAGGACTGCTGCCCGGCCATGCCGTGTGGCCTTGTTCGTAGTGTGAGCTCGCCACACCAAGTGCTGGGCACACAGCAAGCCTCAGGTCTGGATGGCCTCGCCCTTCCCTCCTGCTGCCCGGGGCCATGCCAGGCAGGCTGCCCACTGCTCACCCACCTCGCGCACTGGGTCCGGCCCTGGGAACCCTCCACCTGCCACACGGGGTCCACACTAGGAGGGCGAGAGGGAGCACTGAACGGCCTGGCAAACACCTCCACAGTCTTTCTGAGTCCACACCGCCCACCCAGTCGGCTCACCTTCCTTTCGTTCAAGGGCAAATGAGAACTGACCTTCCCAGCAGCCCCTTGACCCCCACGGCCTCTCGGAAAGGCCCCAAGGAGCAGCAGGCTGGGCCTGGTGGCAGGTGCCACTGAGGGAACCGGCCCTGCCTGACCCCGGGCAAAGGGAAACTGGGGAAAGGGCTGAGGAGCAAAGGCCTAGCTCCCGGGACTCCTCCATCCCGGGGTCCGAACTATTCCACGGACTGGCCTCTCCAGTCTGTTCGCCTGGCGGAAACCGGGCTGCTTTCTCCCTTCTCCCCATGCCATCCAGGCAGCTCACTCCTCAGTCTCCTCCGTGCCCGGGGCGTGGAGCCCAGGCGGGAGGGAAACCACCCTTATGGTTCTTGACACTCCGCTCCAGGGGCTGCTCTCGGCAGCTGGTGTTCACGGGGCACTCGCAAGGTGCCACGCATGCTGCAGCGACCCTTAGGCTTGGAGCCTTATCACCCCCGTTTCAGAGAGAAAACCGGGGCACACACAGCTTCTACATGACAGGCCTGGCTTCCGCGTGTGGGCTAGGCTGTCCTGTCCCCACCGAGGCCTGGCCTGGCTGCTTTCCCCCGACTCGCCCTGACCATGCCGAGGGCTACTGGCCGTGCAACCCCTGGAGACCAGCTTGCCCCCCAGCGCCACGTCCAAACTCAAGCAGGAGAAACCTGTGCATCTCTGCTCTCACCTAGTGGCAGCCACCGTCTGTCCCGCCCAGCCCAACTGGCCTGGTGGCTCCGGATTAAATGAACAGAAGCAGTGGGAAGGGACATCCCCCAGGGTCACCAAGCAGCCCCTTCACACCACCAGGCCTCTCTCAGGGGCAGTTCCCCAGCCTCAGACAGTCCTGTCTCCATAAAGCAGAGACCCTTACCTGGCTAAACATTTAGGTTTGGAATGATCACAAGTCACAACTTTGAGCTATGAAAAGGCAATATTATAGGAACAAAAGGGACATACTGACAAGAACCTTTCACTGCTATGCAATGAGAAACCACTTTTCCACCTTAATTTTAGACGCTTTCTTTTACTGGGGTTGACAGCTTTAGTGATCAGCCCCACAACACACGGTGGAACTCGCCCAGGTCACTGCTGGGGCCTCACCCCTCAAAAGGCTGGGCTCGGCTTTAAACGAGGCACCTCCCTCCCTGAAGCAGACCCCACACCTGGACACTGTCACCACTCGCCTAACACTGTGCCTTCCGGGGTCACGGCCTTCACTTGCGAGCTGTGGGGTGGGGGGTGGGGGGTGGAGGCTTGTGAGGTGAGATCATAGGGGATCCAGAAGTTTCATCTTCAAAGTCACACCTGTCACAGGGTCACCTGGGGGCTTGTTTCTGAACCGCCTTCTGAGTTACCAGCCATTTCCAGGAAGTCACGGCCCTTCTCATGGGAAACTGCACCCTTGGAAATACCCTGCTTGCGGCTGGATGCATTCTGTTTTTTCTGTAGACCCAGGGCTGGCCCACTCAGCCAGCAGCCTTATCTGTAAATGCCACGCCCATTTGTTTACCATCATCTGGGGCAGCTTTCAGAGGCAGTGGCAGGTAGACTAGTTGTGACCGAGACTCATAACCACAAAGCCTAGAGTATTTATTTCCTGTTAAGGAAAAGCTTGCTGACCCTTGCTTGCCCTAAACTCCCTTCACTCACTCAAATCCTCACTGTGAGCACCTGCCCATTCTGGCCTGTGCCAGGCCCAGGGCGACAGTGGCGCAGACTTGGCCAGGCCTGCGAGGTGCACACAGGTTTGAGGAGGCATGTACTAAGCAGCTGCACAGGCCGGCGGGTGTGTGGGGAAGACCAGAGGGGTCTGGCCTGGTCAGAGCCCGATGGAACGAGCAGTGAGCAAAGGCTGAGATGCTCGCCAGGCCGGATAGGCGCTGGGCCAAAGGACCAG